CATTTAAAAAAATTAATGTGACCTTGACCTGACCTTCGCTACGCAACCCAAGGTCAAACTGATGTGATCAGTAAATACATCTTTTTAAACGCCACAACTTTTGTCTGAAACATTTTTTTGTAAAACTTATATTTTTCCTGATATTCGGGCGTCCCGGTACTTTCCGAACACCCTGTATATATATGCACATATACTTAATTATATATACCATATTCTTTTTTTATCAATACTCTAAATATGAAGTAACAATAATATAATATCAATATACTAATTTCTCATTCAACAATATAAGTGTAATATAACACATCTGTACTTATATTTGCTAGCTTTCTAGCATATTATACTTGCTTTCCAGTAAGACACATGTAACATAAAGTGATATAAAACAATAAGGTGTTCAATACGGTGCTAACAGCCCTTATAGAAATATCATACTAAGAATCATTGATAATTACTTATTTTCAGTATTAAAAATACTGGATAATGAGTAATTATCAATGATTCTTAGTATGATATTTCTATAAGGGAGTAATGCAATATAACACAAATATGCTTTCACTGCCTATACGTCATCACGCTTCAACTGGCTTTCGTTGTTCATTTTTAATGGACGTAGGATTCTTATGTCAAATGCCAATTGTCATATAACCATAAAAATTAAAATCACTATAAGAAATTCTACTCACTTTGTACATAATATGCAAGCATAATATGACTTTATTTTTCACATTTAAATCATATTGCTTGATGCTTAAAAATGTTCATGGAAACTTACATAATTAACATATAAAGGAGAACATATACGAGCAAACTGAAAGTTTATGTGAAATATTTTACGTTTTGAGAATTCATCTTTCACGGTTAACGTTCGTCTCATTTATTAAATTTACTCATATTATATTATTATATTATATTATAACTATAAATTTAAGTTGTATAGTGCTTATTAATATGTTATATATTACATCGTGTATACTGTAATTACATTTTAATTTTAATAATCTATATTACATAAATATTGCTTTCCACATTTTCATTGTTCACTTTTCATGTGAAATAACCCAGACAGCACATGGATATCCTACGGATATCCATAAGATGTTTTTTAAGGATATTGAGGATATCCATAAGCCATCCGTTTTACATCCTTCGGACATTCAGGCCGATATTCATAGTCGGATCTTATATTTAAGACCGCTTAAGTTTATCTTCAGATGATGTAGGGGTTATTTCATTGATTACGGAGTATCTAAAGATAATCTTAAGCAATCTTAAATATAAGATCTGACTATGAATACCGGCCTCAATGGACGTTTGTGGGATATCCGTTTATGAAATTGGAGGACATGCTAAAGTCCCCGATATGTCCACAGGATATCCGATGGACATATAAAAGTAGCACCCGGTTTTGTAATTTACAAGATAATTTTGTAATTTGTAAATTAAAAGGATGTGTGTGTGTGTGTGTGTATGTGTGAAACATATAGGATGTTAAAAATGTCTAGAAACAGTCGAATATCTCGAAAACAAACCATTTTAAAGAAAACCCCATATAGCACATGATGTAACAAGGATATCCTGTTTAAGTCACAAATATTTCAGCAACTTTCGAGAGACATCTGTATGAGATATCATATACAGATGTCTCTCAAATATTTAAAATTTCACCAGGATATCTCTGTTACCTGAGTGCTGTAAGATACAAGCACATCATCTAGCGGCAGAGTGACAGAGTAGTATATGTTTTGCGAGTTCACCAATGTATAAGCAAGAGGTTATGTATAATAGTGTATATTGTGGTTTTTTGAAATTAGAGGTAAATATTTCAATATAATTTAATATTATCGTCTTTGTTAATGTTTTTTTTACATTGAAATATATACTACGCTTGTAATATAATATAGGAGGCTAAAAGGATTATAACAAAGTTTGGTGATACATCCATTATATTTATGTAAAAAGTATAATACGTTTTATTGAAAATAAATTGTAGAATTACAATGTTTCAATTAAAAAGAAGAAAAGATTTAAAGTTTATGTCAAAGAGAAATATCCGAAGAATTATTCAGTCAGAAATTCAAAGAAGTAGTGCTTTAGATTTACACGGTGAACATAAGACTGGCTATAATATAGTAGACTAAACTGACTATGATACAATATTAATTAATAATGAAGATGACAGCAATTTATTGTCTTTTAACGTGGAAGCAGATAAACTTGCTGATCAAGATGATACTGTTAACAATAATGAAAAAGGTACTTCAGATGATAGTGACAGCGATAGTAATAGGGAGCGGTGCACTTGGACACGGTGCATTTGGACACAGCCAATCACAGCACCGTATGATTAGAGACATTTGTAGGGTCCCTTGGAACAGCGACTTGTGATTGGACTGTGTCCAATTGCCCCGTGTCCAACTGATATACACCCTAGTAATACAAAGGAAATATGTAATTTGTTAAAGATAGAATATAAAAGTCAAAATAATTATAATATATTAAGGAAAGTCAAAATAATTATCAAAATGATAGTAAATGTTTTAAGGAGAAACTAGCATAATGGGCTGTTGATGCTAATTTGCCTCATAATCATCTACATGATTTAATGAATTTATTAAGAACAGTCAATTCATTGTCTGAACTACAAGATCTTCCTCAACACCCTCGAACATTATTGCAGACTCCTCGACAAACATTGAAAAGAGTTATGACTCCTGGTGAATATACCCACTTTGGTTTAGAAAATGGGTTAAAAAATTTTTTACTTTCTCATACGCAAGATTATTCGACTATAAGAATAGGAATAAATATTGATGGTTTTCCCATTTCCAAATTTAGCTCCAAATGTGTTTGGCCAATTTTGGGATCTCCTGTGGGGACCAATTATATATTTATTGGATTTATTTACCAGATAGATATTCACACACTTCTTCAGATTCTCACAATACTTCCTGGATGCGATCGGCTTGTTCGGCGACCTCCTCGAGTCGATCTTGCGCTCTTGTTGCGAGGATGACCTGCATTTGTGCTGGTAATCTACCGAGCCAGAGCGTTCGTAGTAGCTGCTCTGGCACGATAGTGCCCGCCAGGGTGCGAAGATGTCGCAAAAACTGGGACGGCTTTCGATCTCCAAGTTCCTCATGCTCCAGCAACTGTCGTGTGCGCTGCTCCTGTGAGGCGGACAGCCGCTCTATCAGTGCATTTTTAATTGCGGCATATTTATCGTTCGTGGGAGGATTGATTATTACATCTTTCACCTCCCTGGCGTAGCGCGTCTCAAGCTGGGCTATTACATGCCCATACTTGGTACTGTCCTGCGTAATGCCTCCTAGAAGGAACTGGCCTTCTAGCTGTGCGAACCATAGCTCCGGTTCTTCGGGCCAGAACGGCGGAGCTCGTATGGCGATTTTATTAATGTGTTCGTTCTGCGTCATATTGCCGCTTGCTGCTGAGCTCTGTGGCACACTCATTTGAGTGGCGTGATAACCTTCTCTGTCACTGCGAGTTGGTGAATGCTCAGTGGGCATTCTACCATTAAGGCTAAGATCACGTCGGGGTCACCAGTTTGTGGTCGCGTTAGCTTGCGTTCTTGAGATCTTAGCCTTATCCTACAGCGCTCGCAGTGGGAAGGTGTATTCAATGATTATGCTATGCTACCGAAATAATTACATTTTTATTTTATGTACAGTTGGTGTGTGTGTCTGTGTGTATGTGTGTTATTTCGTTGTCGAGGCTCCCTTCCAGGGCCGGATCCTGGGAGGTCGTTTTGATCCTGGGAAGGTCCCGCGTAATGCGGGCTTCTTTGGTGAGCCGACGTGGGCTCGGAACTTCTCCGGCCGTGCGCGCTTGCGTGGGGACCCGGGTAGTCGGACGCGTGGATCCGGATTTTTGGGCGTCGTCGGGATCCTGACGACGCCTGGCGCTAGAGTCGGCTTCCTGGGCGACGTCTGCGTGGTTTTGTGCACCTGGGCCGTGGACGACACCTTTTCTGCTGGAGATAGGTACCGGGGTGAGAGCGGTCGGCGGGCTCTCACGTCCCACGTCGTGAGCCTCTCCAGTGGTGGCCGGGTGCACCTAACCGGAGCGAGGCATAGGGGCGTCAGACTCCATGGACGTAGTGTTGCCGCTTCCTCTCTTCCTGGGTCCTCGTTCGCTATCAATGCGGGCCGCCTGAGCAATACCCCGGTGCGCAGTAGCTTCCGTGGAGATGGCGTGCGGGGTATGCGAGTTGGAGACGGCGTTGCTGGTAGGGAGGACCAAGAGGAAACCGGAGAGCCGAGCTCGGGTCCTACAGGTTTCTCGTCCGCAAAGTCATCGCTGTCACTCCCGAACAATGCGTGATATTGTTCGCGGAGTCGTGAGCGGGCGGTCTCTCTAGCCTCACCCTGAGGCAGTTTCCCTTCAGGGTGCCGGTGGAGATTGTCGTCGTTGTAGATTTCTCCTTGTAGGAGGTTCGGCTGCTCGTATTTAATCTAGTCGATTGTTCCTTGCTGGAGGTCGAGAGCGGAGTCTGTTCTTCCGGCGTTTCCGCCCGCTATTTATACTCCAGACCTTTAACTGTGTGGAGTATTGGTGCTTTATTTTTCTGAGAAAATCGCGAGGCTCGCGATTCCTCGAATTTAATTAGGTCCTGTGCTTCCACGAATTCGTCGCGGGCTTGCATTCACCGTTGCCCCTCTTCCGAATCTCGAGGCTCGCGATTCCTCGAATTTAATTAGGTCCTGTGCTTCCACGAATTCGTCGCGGGCTTGCATTCACCGTTGCCCCTCTTCCGAATCTCGAGGCTCGCGATTCTTCGAACTCGCGTAGGTCCGCGCTTCCGCGAATTCTCGCGGGCTCGCATTGACTATTGCCCTTCTTCCGAAATCTCGAGGCTCGCGATTCTCCGAACTCGTGCCGGTCCGCGTTTCCACGAATTCTCGCGGGCTCGAGCTTATCTCGCTCCGCCGCGTTTCTCGGAAACGCGTCGCGAGCCTCGCGGTTCTCGGAAAGGACCGTGCGCAAGGTGTGCTTCGTAAGCGTCCCTTTAACTGGGAGCGATGCACCTTGCGTGGCGTCTCGTTCTCTGAGACGCCACACTACAATTTACACATTGACAACACAAGATATTACATTTGCTCTAACTTTAACAAGACCACATATTATTTGTGGATATACTCTAATGGGAACTGAGCATCCAAAATTGTTTATTTTTGAAACAAAGCAAGGAAATACATTCAAAACAAAAACAGAAACTCCTATTGATAATTTAGATATTTTTACATATATAAACTCCAAATTTGTATATGTCGAAAGACATATTAGGACCCAGATGAAGGCACTGTATTATGATATAATACAACAAAAATGCGAGTTAGAAAAACAAGTGTTACAAAATACCTTGTCTCTCGCTACATTATTACCAGACGAATTTGCTTTCCGTCTGATGAAGGCACCTGGGTATATGGCTGTTGCTGCTGGCGAGGTTATACATGTTGTAAAGTGTATACCGCTCGAAGTCGTACTACGACGAACAAACTCATGCTTCACCGATTTA